GGTGCCAGACATGTGACCCAGTGGAAATAAAAATATTGATGATTGCATTAAAGAATTTCAGCTTAAATCTACAGAATATGAGAATGTGATAGAATGGATTCCTTTTGATAGATTAGATAATGTTCAAATGAATGGAGATGAATTTTTAGCTTCTTGGCTAGATGGCATACGAATAATTTCTTTTTACGAGGATAAATACACACAATCACGTACTCGATGTATAATTAATCTTAAAATCTTGCATAATTTTCAGAAATCGATGCACTTATTAAAAGAGGTAAGATAAATATATATTTACATTATTATTATGGATTTTATATATTTATAGATTATATTTTCTATTTAAGAATTATATAAACGGCAGTAAATTTAAAGTATATGGAATAACTCAAGACACAGATACTAACGAGTATATGTTAGTATTTGATAAATTTAATTCTAAAAGAAGTTGTGAAAATGGAAAATGTGCACGTTGTAATCGTTATAACACATCTGCAGCTTGGTGCCACCCATGTGATCCTCTAAGAATGACTCAAGGGTGGACAAGTGGAAATAAGATTATTGATGATTGCATTAAAGAATTTCAGCTTAAATCTACAAAATATGAAAATGTGATAGAATGGATTCCTTTTAATCGATTAGATAATATTCTAATGCATGGACATGAATTTTTAGCTTCTTGGTTGGATGGTATACGTGATTGTGTGTTTTCTTTACTCCATATGTTTTCTATAAAAGTTCCATCTTTCCAGGTTGCTAAAAATTCATCATCATGAATTGTTCGTATTCCATCTAGCCAAATTGCTAAAAATTCATCACCGTTCTTTTGAATATTATTTAATTTATTAAAAGGAATCCACTCAATTATATGTTCATATTTTGTGGCATAAAGCTGAAGAAATTCGTTTTGATTTCCACTTGTCCACTTTTGCATTATTTTCTGAGGATCACACGTTTGACACCAGGCAGGCGATGTGTTATTTAGGTTACAATGTGCACATTTTCCATTGAGGTTATCTCTTTTAAATTCAATTTTTAATATAATTGTTACAAAAACGATTTTTTACGGAGATGGGGTATTATGACGAATTAGGTATTGTGGCGAATCGGGGATATCTCGTGATCCCGTGATCAGAATCAAGTAAAATTTAGACCTCTGAGAGGAATCGAATGATATAAATTTCATTCTATTTAGACTGCCATTTCATGAGATATTTAAGTTAAACGCAATTTTGAATATATAACAGTATAATCACTTTTGTGACTCAGTGATAAAATTGAGCATACTTATACCAATCGATTCTTCTTATTGAGAGGAATCGATTGATATAAAAATCGCTCAATTTGGACCATTGAATCATGAGATATTTGTGTTTAAGCTATTTAAATATATTGAATAATATATAAAATACTATAATAAAAAGGTATTATGACGAACGTTGATATCTCGTGACCCCAGGATCAGAATCCAATGGTTTTTATACCATCCAATTCCTTTCAATGAGAGGAATCGAATGGTATAAAAGTCGTTGGATTCTGATCTCGGGGTCACGAGATATCAACGCTTCGCCACAATACCTTCCAATGCAAAAAAATCACATTATTTTTAATAAAATTTTAAACTCAAGTATCTTTGGATCTAGTGATCGGAATCGAATGTTTTTGGTATCTCAATGAGACGAATCAAATGATACCAAAACCATTCAATTTTGATCTGTATGTCACATGATGCGGTTAAAATTGTTAACTTCGTCATAATACACTTATATTACGCAAATTGGAGTTTATAAAAAAAAATAAATACTATAATAATTTTTACTCACCGACTAAGTTTATTCGCCAAAACTACGCAGGAACTTGTATTTTGCTTGCTTATATGCATACTTTCAAGATACTAATAGCATAAATGACTAATAAGAACTATATAAATACAATGTGAACATATGAAAAGTTAAAGGAAATTCAAGTACTTTATTAAGGTCCTCGAAATCTTTTTTTAAGATTTGTTTATCTCGTCTACGGCGTTCAACATCGACTAAGATAACCAGATCTAGCTCATCTATATACCTATCAAATTCTTTAGTCAAGTCATAAAACATTGATTCGATTGATTCTACCTGAATATATTTTATTCCTTTCGACTGTGTGACATCATTCACAAAATTTTCTAACTTTTGAATATTATGCAAAATCTTCTGCAAAACTGTATAATTCTTTTGAGTAAAAGATTCCTTATGTTCTTCCCACCGAAACTTTAAGGAGCGAATTGTTACTTCTACGGCAGATACTCTGTCAAAGATTGCGCCGCAAATACGTTTGTTATGCTCAGCATCATGGTATATTTTAGAAATTCTTTCAAAAATTTGTGTGATGCCACTAAAGAGCGGAAGAAATTTTGAAACCCGGATCTCAGGATAATGATCGTGAACTAATTTAAAAATCATAATTAAAAGTTGTTAAAATTGATAAAATTATAAATGCAAGTAACGGTAACGATTTATTCGTTTCTAATAGTAACCTTACACAAAGGCAGTTAATGCATTTCATAAAAATAAATACGTACGCCTGACTTATCCATATTACTTCTTTAAGTAAATTTTCGGAGAACCCGTATGTCGTACGTACGTAACATTAGTTGTACGTACGTCGTATTAAGATTTTCTAGTGAACATAACCTCATTTCTTTTTTTAAATAATTGCTAGACACAAGTAACTCTCTTTACACTAATGTTGTCGAATTTTATTGAAAGTTCCTTTAACAATCAACTTTATATTCCGTCTTTAATTGTCTTTAATTACTTATTCCTAATATATGTGTATTTAGATAATAGGTTACGATATCTTAGAGTTATTCAAAACATATAGCAATAGACTTTTTTTTTTTGTTTCTAACGAACATGAGTATTTCAGGAGAGCTTAGAACATTAATAGACATGGAAAAAATTCCACAGTACAGTTATGATTGTTTTTTCAAATATTGAAAAGATCAAC